TCTCGGTCGCCCTCGCCTCGCAGCCTGCCACCCGCGGTCGGCTGCCCGCCTCCTCAGCCAGCCATGCTGGAGCATCTGAGCTCGCTGCCCACGCAGATGGTGAGGGCGCAGCCCCGGGGACCTCCGCACGCAGCTCCTGTGCCTGGCAGCTTCGAAGCCCCTGTCCGAGCACCGACCTAGTGCTGCTCTGTTCCGGGCCCTGATGGTTACCCTCCACCCTCTTTACCGAATTGCCTCCTGGGTCCCCTTCTCTTCTACTCCGCGAGAATCTCCTGTCCATTCTCCGTGAGGGTGTTTCAGTTCCTCCCGGGAAGCCCAGAATTTAATTTCTTGCCCAGGTCCATAGGTGAGCGGGAGACCCTGATATTGGGGTTACCCTGTGCCAAAGTTTTGAGGTCAGGGCAGAAATTGTTATCTTCTCGGCGGTGGATCCAATTCTTTTTTTCCTCTGCTTCACCCCAGGATTACAAGGGCCAGAAGCTAGCTGAACAGATGTTTCAGGGAATTATTCTTTTTTCTGCAGTAAGTATTGGTTTTACGTGTAATCTCCGCCCCCGCCTCCCTCCCAACCCTCAGTTTGAGTGTGTTTAATATACTTCATTTGTCTCTAGATAGTTGGATTTATCTACGGATACGTGGCTGAACAGTTCGGGTGGACTGTCTATATAGTTATGGCCGGATTTGCTTTTTCATGTTTGGTAAGAAATTTGTGGGTGTTAGTGGCAACCTGGGTTTTGAGAGTCGGGTTGGTTTGGTTAGACCTACTCAGTAGTGAGACCCAAAGCCAATGTTTCCCTCATCCTTCCAGACAGCGTTTCCCTTTGCTATCATTGGAAAAGTAGAATGCCAAAATAGTGTCAGATGGTGTGAACTATATAAAAGAACATAGCTTATTTCCTTTGGCAGCTACTCTAGGTAATAATCTTAAGGTCAAAGCCAGCAGGAGTTTTTCATGGTGCTCACATTGCCCCCTCACCTGTTATTTATTTATTTATTTATTTTAAATTTTTTAAGACGGAGTTTCACTCTGTTGCCCAGGCTGCAGTGCACTGGGGCGATCTCGGCTCACTGCACCTTCTGCCTCCCGGGTTTAATCGATTCTCCTGCCTCAGCCTCCCGAGTAGCTGGGACTACAGGCTCACATCACCACACCCAGCTAATTTTTGTATTTTTAGTAGAGGCAGGGTTTCACTGTGTTGGCCAGGCTGGTCTCAAACAATCCGCCTACCTTGGCCTCCCAAAGTGCTTGGATTACAGGCGAGAGCCACCACACCTGGTCCCTCACTTTTCTTTTAGGTCTTAAAGCCATTTGTGTAGGCAGTAAGCCTGTTCCCATCATCTTACAGTGTTTTGCATGGACGGTGGCACAGAGCCTTTATAGGAATATGGATTTTTTTGGTTTTTGTTTCCTCAGCATGGGAGTCGTTTGGGAACCTGGCATTATACATAATTTTTTAAACTTTTAATAGCTATAATTTATGCATTTCCTTTTTTCTGACCCAGCTGACACTTCCTCCATGGCCCATTTATCGCCGGCATCCTCTCAAGTGGTTACCTGTTCAAGACTCAAGCACAGACGACAAGAAACCAGGGGAAAGAAAAATTAAGAGGCATGCTAAAAATAATTGAGGTTTTCATGATTCAGCACCTGCTTTTGTTTCCTGTGAGATGAGCTAAATTGCTTTCATACCCCAGAAAAGAGCTAAAACCATCTAATGCTCTTATGGCACAGCTGTGTGTAGATTTAGTTCTCTTTATACTTCATTTCTAGCACAGTTGGGTCTTGATTTATATAAGTAGTTTAGACCTTCTCTTCATAATCTTGCTGTGAAATGGGGAACAGAACACACAAGTATGCAGTTTCTTTCAGGTGTAAATAATGAAGAATAAATGCCTCATAAATGATAGTACAATGTAACTATCAAAGTTTTGTAATTCATTATGAGTTGTTAAACCATTTTAATATTTCCAATTAAACCTCATAGTGCAAGTTCTTTGTCTAAAGGATCTTTTGTTCATTATTCTGCAAGGAAGATAATTAGTAAAAGCCTAAGTTAGAAGTTCATGGTTCTGGCCAGGTGCAGTGGCTGTCACTTATAATCCCAGCACTTCGGGAGGCTAAGGCAGGAGGATGACTTGAGCCCAGGAGTTTGAGACATTTCATGGTATATAATTAATAGTTGTTACTAGAACATTAGTTCCATAAGAATGGGGACCTTGTTTTTCTCACTGCTGTCTGCCCAGTACATAGAAGAGTACACGATGCATTGTAAGTACTTAAGATTTATTGAATGAGAACTGCATTGTACAATATGGTGCCACTAGACACATGTCTATTTAATTAAAATATAAAACTCTTATCAAACTAGCCATGATTCAAAGGCTTAAGAGCTATGTGAATAGTGGCTACCATATAAAACATTTCCATCACAAAGTTCCATTTAGCAGATCTTATATAGAACCTTGAATAAAATTTAATAGACAAGTGATTTTGTATTTAACATGTCACCGTTATTGAATGCCTATAAGGCCATTCCAATAATGGATAATGTACTAAACAACAGGAAAAAAAAAACTGCAAGAAGTAAAGGTTGTGCAGGTGATATTCAGTAACACTGCAGGATAGCCAGAGCAAGGGCATTAACTTCCTTTGCTTTATAAGTCTATGGAAATCAAAACTTGTAAAAGAGAAAACCAAAATCAGAATTATTGACACTTTAGGCCAGGCATGGTGCCTCACGCCTATAATCCCAGCACTTTGGTAGGCCAAGGCAGGCAGATCACCTGAGGTCAGGAGTTCAAGACCAGCCTGGCCAACATGGTGAAACTCCATCTCTACTAAAAATAAAAAAATTAGCCAGGCGTGGTGGCATGTTCCTGTAATCCCAGCTACTCGGGAGGCTGAGGGAGGGGAACTTGAACCCAGGAGGCAGAGGCTGCAGTGAGCCAAGATCACACCACTACTCCAGCCTGGGCAACAATGAGACTCTGTGTCAAAAAAAAAAAAAAATGATTATATTGGGAAGAAAATGTATAGTCTTAGAGATGAGTTTTTAAATTAATTTAGGAAGATGAATTAAGCACTAAAGTAAAAAAGAACGATAAAAGTGGGAAGAAAACAGGATCAATGTTTAAACAAAATAAAAATATGGCCGGGCGCGGTGGCTCAAGCCTGTAATCCCAGCACTTTGGGAGGCCGAGACGGGCGGATCATGAGGTCAGGAGATCGAGACCATCCTGGCTAACCCGGTGAAACTCCGTCTCTACTAAAAAATACAAAAAACTAGCTGGGCGAGGTGGCGGGTGCCTGTAGTCCCAGCTACTCGGGAGGCTGAGGCAGGAGAATGGCGTGAACCCGGGAGGCGGAGCTTGCAGTGAGCTGAGATCCGGCCACTGCACTCCAGCCTGGGCGACAGAGCGAGACTCCGTCTCAAAAAAAAAAAAAAAAAAAAAACTAGCCGGGCGAGGTGGTGGGCACCTGTAGTCCCAGCTACTCGGGAGGCTGAGGCAGGAGAATGGCGGGAACCCGGGAGGCGGAGCTTGCAGTGAGCTGAGATCCGGCCACAGCACTCCAGCCTGGGCGACAGAGCGAGACTCTGTCTCAAAAAAAAAAATAAAAATAAAAATAAAAATAAAAATATACAACATGGGAATAAGAAAGTATGGGGGAGGTCAGGTGTGGTTCATGCCTATAATCCCAGCACTTTCGGAGGCCGAGGCAGGAGGACTGCTTGAACGCAGTTTGAGACTAGCCTGGGCAACACAGACTTCCTCTCCACAAAAAATTTTAAAAATTAGCCAGGTGTGGTGGTGCATGCCTGTGGTCCTAGCTACTTAAGGGGCTGAGGTGGGAGGATCACTTAAGCCCAGGAGGTCAAGGCTGCAGTGAGCTTTGATCACCTCACTGCACTCCAGGCTGGGTAACAGAGCAAGACCCTGTCTCCAAAAAAAAAAAAAATACGGGTGAGATTAATTCTAATAAAATGCCTGCTTTACACCAATAAATTAGAAAAATTAAGTAAAATTGATGACTGTCCAGAAAGATGTGGATTTCCAAAACATGCAAGGAAAGGAATAGCTCAAGGATACCAAGTTTGCCAAAGATTTGTTCCCAACTGGGCATTGGGACTTGATGGTTTTGCAAGCTGAGTTCTAGCAAACCCTTCAAAGTGAAAATAAGAGTTATCAGAAACCAGGCTGTGAGCACTGTAAAAGGGCAGGAAGCATTGTTTTATTCACCACTATATCCCCAGCTCCTGGCAGAGAACCTGGCACATAGTAAACTCTAAATAAAAATTTGTCAAGTGTGCCAGGCGCGGTGGCTCACACCTGTAATCCCAGCATTTGGGAGGCCGAGGCGGGCGGATCACAAGGTCAGGAGATCGAGATGATCCTGGCTAACACAGTGAAACCCTGTCTCTACTAAAAAAAACACAAAAAAATTAGCCGGGCATGGTGGCGGGCAACTGTAGTCCCAGCTACTCAAGAGGCTGAGGCAGGAGAATGGAGTGAACCTAGGAGGCAGAGCTTACAGTGATCCAAGATTGCACCACTGTACTTCAGCCTGGGTGACAGAGTGAGACAGGTCTCAAAAAAAAAAAAAAAAAATTCATTAAGTGGCTGTAAAGGGAACATTTCATTAGAGTATTTCTGTGTGTGTGTATAATTTTCAAAGATATATTTTTAGTTATAGAAACTGAAAACAGGGCTGGGCACAGTGGCTCATGCCTATAATCCCGGCACTTTGGGAGACTGAGGTGAGTGGATTGCTTGAGCCCAGGAGTTCGAGACCAGCCTGGGCAATATGGTGAAACCCTGTCTCTACAAAAAATACAAAAACTAGCCAGGTGTGGTGGCACACACCCATGGTCCCAGCTACTAGGAAAGCTGAGGCGGGAGTATCACTTGAGCCCCGGAAGTAGAGGTGGCAGTGAGTTGAGATCATGCCACTGCACTCCAGCCTGACTGAATGAAATGCTGTCTCAAAAAAACCACCTGAAAACATTTCTAGAGCAATATTTATTTTTAGAGTCCCTCGAATACAGAAGTGAAAATGTACTATTCAAGACTTGTATTTAACTTTATAAAATTTCTTTCCTAGATGGGTATTACCTCTTCTTAAACATTTCACTAATAAAATATGTGATATATAATCATACATTTAAAACATGGAACGACAACTAATATCTTAAAGTACATGAAGACAAACTTCAGGAGACAAACATTAAATATATCCAAAAACTAAATGGAACTAGACTGCTTACAAATTGCTTAAACCGAAATGAAATTTGTGTTTAAGAAATGTTTTCACTGATGGAAAAATAAATCTAACAAGACCATTATGTAAAAACATACTAATTTACAAAGGCAATGTATCTCAGTTTTAATTTGTATATACCCTAGATGAGGTTTATATTAAATGAGAATAAAATATTAAAAGTCCATCAATGTGTAGAAAAGAAATTCAGCTGCTCAAGTACTAGACAGAACTTCATATTCTTTAAATCTATTTCTAGAACTGTGAATTGACTTTTTTAAATTTTATAATTTATGGCCAGGCATGGTGGCTCATGCCTGTAATCCCAGCACTTTGGGAGCCCAAGGCGGGCGGATCACAAGGTCAGGAGATGGAGACCATCCTGGCTAACATGGTGAAACCCCGTCTCTACTAAAAATACAAAAAAATTAGCCAGGCGTGGTGGCGGGCGCCTGTAGTCCCAGCTACTTGGGAGGCTGAGGCAGGAGAATGGCGTGAACCTGGGAGGCAGAGCGTGCAGTGAGCTGAGATTGCACCACTGCACTCCAGCCTGGGTGACAGAGTAAGACTCTGTCTCAAAAAAAAAAAAAAAAAAAAAAAAAATTTTTTCAATCCAAAAAATTTCAATCCAAAATTTTTCAAGCCCTATGTTTAAGCTAATCAGTACCTTAAAAAAATAAAATTCTAGATATAAACTTGGTGGATTAAGGCTCAGTAAACAGTAATCAAACAAACAACAGATTAGTCCTCAGAATATGAAAGCCAAAGTTTTTTTTCTTTCGTGATCCTGCTGTCCAATTTCTTTTCTGTAGGAAAACCCCAAAGAGATATAAAAAGAGATATAAAACAGTGGTGAATGGCTTCCAAATGACTGTTTGCCCTTGTTTTTTAAGCCAAAAATCTCTAAAAATAGGTCTTTAATTCCGGCAGCAGATTAGGACAAACACTCAAAAATTCATGTTTTCTTCAAAAAATTTCAACTGGCGAGCTTTCACACTGTAAGTTGTATACTTTTCACCCATGTGCTCCCGCAAATGTACCTATTTGAGAAACAAAAAGAAAATCAGTAGGTAGTAGGAAAAAATATTTCTGTAATCTTAGAAGAAGGGCTTTTCTAAGCATGATATCAAAGGTGGAAACCATACAGGAAAATACTAATAGTTCAGTTTGCATAAAAATTTTAAACTTCGAGATGTTTTAAAAAGTCGTAAGAAATTAAAGAGCAAACAATAAACTAGGGAAAACATTTGCAATATTCATGCCAAAGGATTAATAGCATTCATATATAAAGAGTTCTTTGAATCAATAAAACCCAACAATATTAGAATAGGTAAAACAAAATCAATCTCATAGATAATTCAGCAAATTCATTTATATATGTATGTAAATGTAATCCCATATATTTACAAAATAATCACATAAATAACCACTAGTGAAATGGGAAAAGTTCCCTTGTCCCCCTCGCAGGGCGTTTGATGGGGATGCGGCTCGCTTCTTCAGTGCCCCACTGCTCAAACCGCTAGGGGAGCATACAGACAGGCAGAATGTGGGGCTCTGACCCCACGGTAGTGTCTAGGGCTGAATGTTTACAGCTGAAGCCCCAGTGGGCATGTGTTACAGGGTGCTCTTTTAGCCATCTGTAGGCAGCTTGTGTTAGCTCAATTAGACCCTTGCCCTATCGCAAGGACAGAGGGCTTTCTGTATCCCAGGGTTCCTGCCTTGGTGTACCGGAAGAATCAGATCACACATAGGCTTGGAGAATGAGTGCAAGGTTTTATTGAGTAAAAGTAGCTCTCAGCAGATGGGGGAACCAGAAGGGAGATGGTTTTCCCCTGGAGTCCGGCCGCTCGGCGGTCCGGGTTCTCCTCCAGCTGTCCTGGCCAAACTCCACCTCGTTCTGCCAGTCGATGGCCTGCTGGCATGCTGGCGTCTGTCAGTGTGCTCTTCTGCTGGCATGCTCCCCTTGACGTCCTCTCAATGTCCAGCTGCTTGTTTCTTCTTTTGCCGATGTGTTCCTCTCAACATCCAGCCTCTTATCTGTATTCCTGCTAGGGTCTCAGGGGTTTTTATAGGCACAGGATGGGGGAGTGGCAGGCCAGGGTGGTCTTGGGAAATGCAACATTTGGGTACGAAGGCAGCAGTGCTTGTTCTTGCCTAGGTCCATGGGCACAGGTCTGAAGGTGGAGCCCTAGCCAGGGGCCACATCCTCCCTTACCCAGTACTTCCCTGTCCCCCTTCCATATCATTAGCATACATAAAATTCAACCTGACTAGTAATAAAAAAAAAAGTACTATGTGACATTCAGTGTATGCTTGTGGAAAGAACTGTTCAAAATTAAAATAACACCTAGTATGTTATACTGTGAACCTCCTGATACAATGTACTGAGGGCATATCACTTATGTGGTATTCCTGACAAAAATGTATAACCTAAATCTATTCATGAGAAAACATCAGAAAAATCCAAACCAAGGGACATTTTATAAAACACATGGCCCAGGCTGTCTTATCCTTATGAGCAGCCTGTCCTGAATCCTCTCTCTCTCAAGGTATACTGCCTATTCTGCACTTAACTTTCAAAATACTATTTTTCTTTTGCAATAAATTATTCTATGCTGCAAAAAATAAAATAAACATGGCCCCTACTCCTCAAAAATGTCAAAGTCATCCAGATGTGGTAGCTCACGCCTGTAATCCCAGTACTTTCGGAAGCCGAGGTAGGCGGATCACCTGAGGTCAGGAGTTCAAGACCAGCCTGACTAACATGCAGAAACCCCGTCTCTACTAAAAATACAAAATTAGCTGGGCATGGTGGCACATGCCTGTAATCCCAGCTACTCAGGAGGCTGAGGCAGGAGAATTGCTTGAACCCGGGAGGCGGACGTTGCGTTGAACCAAGATCGCACCATTGCACTCCAGACTGGGCAATAAGAGCAAAACTCCCTCTCAAAAAAAGAAAAAAGAAAAAGTCACGAAAAACAAAGTGAGAAAATGTTTCAAATTTAAAAAGACATAACAATTAAATATAAAATGTAATCCTGTTTGGTTCCACATCCAACATGACACCATAAGGAGCTCTGTAAGCCTCCCATTTCCCTCAGTGGCCAGGCTCACGTCTGTAATTCCAGCACTTTAGAAGGACAAAGTGGGCTGATCCCTTGAGCTCAGAAGTTCAAGACCAGCCTAGGCAACAGGGTGAAACTTTGTCTCTACAAAGACTACAAAAAATTAGCCAGGTGTGGTGGTGTGCACCTGTAGTCCTAGGTACTTGGGAGAATGACTTGAGCTAGGGAGGCAGAGACTGCAGTGAGCCGTGATCATGCCACTGCACTCCAGCCAGGGCTACAGAGCAAGGCTTCAACTCCAAAAAACAAAGTCTCTGGAAATGGTGCTAAGAGAAAATGACCTTCAAATTTTTAAATAAAAATTATAGGAGGCCATTGTTTTGGACTAAACTCCTGCACTAGTGATGACAGCTGCGGGCCATCCGGAGCAGCCGCTACCATCGCGCTGGCAGCAGCAGGGAGATGTGAGCGGTGATGGCAGCAGCAGCTGCAGAAGAGCAGTGGCACCATTGGAACCCTGTACCCCATGTCCCTGAAGCAGCTGGCCAGACCACGCCCACCTTCGCATGGTCAGGAGCCGCCCCCAGGCCAGGACCCTCCACCACTCCGGACATCTGCCTCAGCTGTGGGGAAGGCGAGGGGAGGAAGCACAGTCCCCAAAGCTGGCCCCTGGGAGCCCCGCCCAGAACCCACTGCCCTGGAGGTTGCTAGGATGGGGCCAGGCTGTCACCTGCCGGTGGGGGAGCAGCGTGGTCAGGCGCAAAGGGGCAGGCAAAGAGGTGCCCCAAGGCAGAGCCAGGCCGGAGAGGCCCCAGCTGCCCCCGCAGGCTCAGGGGTGTCTGTTCCCATTGACTGGTCTCTCCCTATTACCCCCACCCCCAGCTCCAATCTCAGAGCCAAATGAGCCCAGGCGTGGTAAAAGCCCGGCCAGGTGTACGCATGTTTGGGGCAGCAATGACACACCAGCCCCCTGCCACTTTGTCCCCCTCCGGACTTTGGGCTACAACAAGCGCAGGATGGGGAGAGTTTAAGCTGAGGGGGAGCGGAGGGCAGCTTGGCACTGGCCTGCATGTGCACCGTGGCATGAGCAGCCTGGGCCTGAGCAGGAGGCAGACAGGCTACTGGGCAGAAGGGGGCGGGTCCCCGGTGAGGCCCCACCTTCGGGCCAGGGAGGGCTTGAAGTTTGGGGGCCTGGCTGCTAGTCTCATAGACCAGAGTGGGAACTTGTGGTGCCTTTTCTGGGCCTGCCCATGGAGCAATCGGCAAGTACTTACTCCTGTTTAAGCCCCTGCGCTTAGCCAGAGCAGAACAGACAATGGGATGACTAGCTGCAGAGGAGCTACCCTCTCTGCTGAGAGCTCAGCACTCATCAAGTGGGGCTGAAAACTCCACGAGACACCCTGTCTATGGAAGGGAGGTGGCCCCTGCGGACCTCCTCTGAGCTGTTCTCTCTTTTTTTCTGAGACGGAGTCTTGCTCTGTCACCCAGGCTGGAGTGCAGTGGCGTGATCTTGGCTCACTGCAACCTCCACCTCCTGGGTTCAAGCGATTCTCCTGCCTCAGCCTGCCCAGTAGCTGGGATTACAGGCACATGCCATCAGGCCTGGCTAATATTTTTTGGTATTTTTAGTAGAAACAGGGTTTCACCATGTTGGCCAGGCTGGTCTCGAGTTCCTGACCTCGTGATCCACCCACCTCGGCCTCCCAAAGTGCTGGGATTACAGGTGTGAGCCATCACATCCAGCCTGAGCTGTTCTCTCAAAGAAACTCCTCTTCCTCTTGCTTACCCTTCACTTGTCTGCGTACCTCTTCCTGGTCACAGGACAAGAACTCGGGACTCACTGAATGGTGAGGCTGAAAGAACTGTAACACAAACATATTAGGAGCTGAGATGTCCCTTTCTCACCACTTTGCATGTGAAGAGGAGAGAAGAGCTGTGGCCCTTCAAGGATCCCAGACCTGGGAGCTCCCCAAGCCAGGGCTGTGACTCCCTCTTTGGGGCGCTGTGGTTGCTGGCATCTCCAAGCTTCCCCAGTGTTCCCTGGTGCCAGCAGTGGAAGCTGCCTGAGGTGCACCTGATCTGGCCGTAGCTTTGCAGAGGACCAGTACCCATGCCGGCACCTGGAGCTGCCCACCCCACTGCAGCAACTAGAGTGTCTTGACTGCACAATGGCTGGACCCCATGTTCGCTCTCATACCCCTTGTCGCTCCATGCCTGACTCTCCCTTGGCAGGCATGGGATACAGGCTGGTAATATGAGTGCAATGCCAGACTGTGGACAGAACAAGCCCAGCGGGCCCAAGTAAAACTCAGGCAAAGGCGCCATCAGCCACAGATGTTTCTGGTCAGAAAAGTGACACCCCAAAGATCTCATAACACTAGGCCCAATAGTCCAGACTAAAAATCATAATGGCGTCACTAATGCTCACCAAACAGAAACTGAGCTGTCATCTGGCCTTTCTAGAAATCGAGAGACTAAAAGAGGTAACAGCCTAATTTCCCAAACAGGCCAGTTTCAACTGACATCATATGAAGCTCTCTCTGTTTTAATCTTTCATCTGAAGTAACCTGATGTTAACCAATCAGCTTATTTTTCCATTATTCTGTCTCCCTGTCCCCACCCTAAAATGACCAATCCACTTTTTTTCTGGAGCAACCCTATTAAATGAGACCAATCCACTTTTTATTCTTTTTTTCTTCTTTATCCAACCCTTTTTCTGTCTATAAAGCTAATCTCTGCTTCACTCATTAGAACACTTATTCTATTTTACAGAATGAAGTGTTGCCCAATGCTAGAATCACAATAAACCCAATTGAGATATTTAAACAAAATGTGTTATAATTTTGTCTTTTGACAGAAGAAACATTTATTTGAGAAAATCTAAACTTTGGTAAGAACGGTAAGAGTCAGTGGTACACGAATCATGACCAACTGCCACCTTTCTCCAGCCCACCTAAGTGAGACAAAAATTCTACTCCAGGCCACTGAAGGCAAGAACACAGGCCTTTGTTTCCCTGCAACTTCCAGTTGAAAGGTTATCTTCTTTGGAGGGCAGGACACTGGCAGATCTCATCCTGCTGCCTGTTGTTGAGGCTACATTTCAGGAGAGTGCAGGCAAGAAGTGGGAGTTCCCTTCTTCCACCTAGCCCAGGGTACTAGGATGTAGGTTCTACTTTGGGTACAGGATTGCTAAAAATTATGGGGCCCAGTCCAGGTGTGTTGGCTCACACCTGTAATGCCAGCACTTTGGGAGACCGAGGTGGGTGGATCACTTGAGGTCAGGAGTTTGAGACCCAGCCTGGCCAACATGGTGAAACTGCGTCTCTGCTAAAAATACAAAAATTGGCTGGGTGTGGTGATGGGTGCCTATAATCCCAGCTACTTGGGAGGCTTAGATAGAAGAATCACTTGAACTCAGCAGGCGGAGGTTGCAGTGAACTGAGATCGAGCCACTGCACTACAGCCTGGGTGACAAAGCAAGACTCCATCTCAAATAATAATAATAATAATTATGGGGTCCCAAATCACCTCTTCCCCAGACCATAAAGATGCCATGTTAGTGAAATGCCAAGAAGTATGCCAAGTATGCCAAGAAGACCAGAGGCTACTGCCCCATCTCCCTCTAAAACCGAGTGCGCTGTTTCTAAAGTGGGGGTATCACTTGGAAGAGTGCCATTGTCTCCACCCACAGCTCCATAGCCATGCTCACAAACTTTGCTTGGGAATAGAAAGAGGCCATAAAACAGAGCACCAAATCTCTTCCTAAATGAACTGACTTCATCTGGAAGACAGTGTGGAGTTCGAGCCTCACAGTGCTTTCAAAAAGAGTGGAAGTGTAACTGAGTACCTCCACTTTAATCATTATTATTATTCTGTGAGACAGAGTCTCACTGTCATCCAGGCTGGAGTGCAGTGGCACCATCTCAGCTCACTGCAACCTCTGCCCCCCGGGTTCAAGCAATTCTCATGCCTCAGCCTCCCGAGTAGCTGGGATTACAGGTGTATGCCACCACACCAGGCTAATGTTTGTATTTTTAGTAGAGATGGGGTTTCGTCATGTTGGCCAGGCTGGTCTCAAACTCTTGACCTCAAGTGATCTGCCCACCTCAGCCTCCCTAGGTGCTGGGATTACAGGCATGAGCTACTGCACCTGGCCTCAATTATTTAATTTTTTTTTTCTTTTTTTTTTTTTTTTTTGAGATGGAGTCTCGCTCTGTCGCCCAAGCTGGAGTGCAGTGGCCGGATCTCAGCTCACTGCAAGCTCCGCCTCCCGGGTTCACGCCATTCTCCGGCCTCAGCCTCCCGAGTAGCTGGAACTACAGGCGCCCGCCACCTCGCCCGGCTAGTTTTTTGTATTTCTTAATAGAGACGGGGTTTCACCGTGTTAGCCAGGATGGTCTCGATCTCCTGACCTCGTGATCCGCCCGTCTCGGCCTCCCTAAGTGCTGGGATTACAGGCTTGAGCCACCGCGCCCGGCCTTAATTATTTTTAAATTCTTTGTTTTCTCTCTCTTCTTATCCTCCTTTTTCCCACTTCCTACTTAGCTCTTTAGAAATACAATTATAGGCTGGGCGTGGTGGCTCATGCCTGTAATCCCAGCACTCTCTGGGAGGCCGAGGCAGGTTGATCACCTAAGTTTAGGAGTTTGAGACCAGCCTGGCCAACATGGTGAAACACTGTCTCTATTAAAAATAAAAAAATTAGCAGCGCACGGTGGCAGATGCCTGTAATCCCAGCTACTCGAGAGGATGACGCAGGAGAACTGCTTGAACTTGGGAGGCAGAGCTTGCAGTGAACCAAGATCGGACCACTGCACTCCAGCTTGGGTGACAGAGCGAGACTCCATCTCAAAAAAAAGAAAAAAAAAGAAATACAATTATAGCCTTTTACCTTCGCTTCATCAGACACTCCCTACAGGGGTAGATCAACTATGTGCTTAGAAGCTCCAGAGCAGAACACCTGCCCACTAGGAGGTTGTCTCAAGAGATAACAGTAGATTCACAACCCAACGTATGCCTGCTCACAAAGAAACCAGCAGTCACCACTTTGATCACCTGGTAGATAAGGCACCAAGCTAACACACAGACCCCTGCAACTGCTCGCTCCCCCCAACCCGCCATGTCCCATTCATGTTAGGCCCTTGTTTTTGAGATGGAGCTCCATTCTTGTTGCCCAGGTTGGAATGCAATGATGGCACAATCTCGGCTTACTGACTACAACCTCCGCCTCCCGGTCTCAAGTGATTCTCCTGCCTCAGCCTCCCAAGTAGCTGGGATAATAGACATGCACCACCACACCTGGCTAATTTTGTATTTTTAGTAGAGACAGGGTTTCTCCATGTTGGTCAGGCTGGTCTCGAACTCCCAACCTCAGGTCATCTGCCTGCCTTAGCCTCCCAAAGTGCTGGGATTACAGGGGTGAGCCACCGCGCCCAGCCTATGCCCCCTTTAAAAGTGCTTGCTTTCTACTCCAAAGGAGGAGTACCCTTAAAGGCAGAAAGCCTGTACTTCCCCCGAAGCTAAACTTTGGAATAAAAAGTAATCTTAGGGCCGGACGCAGTGGCTCAAGCCTGTAATCCCAGCACTTTGGGAGGCCGAGACAGGCGGATCACTGGGTCAGGAGATCGAGACTATCCTGGCTAACACAGTGAAACCCGTCTCTACTAAAAAATACAAAAAACTAGCCGGGCGAGGTGGCGGGCGCCTATAGCCCCAGCTACTCGGGAGGCTGAGGCAGGAGAATGGCGTGAACCCGGGAGGCAGAGCTTGCAGTGAGCTGAGATCCGGCCACTGCACTCCAGCCTGGGGGACAGACCGAGACTCCGTCTCAAAAAAAAAAAAAAAAAAAAAAGTCACTTTATACCAGACCTTGCTCTTGTTAATTGGATTCTGCAAGCAGCAAGCAACTGAACCTGTGTTTTAGATACAGCAGTAGAAAGGCAACTGGGAGGAGATAAGCCAATTCATTGGAGATGTAAACTAAACTATAGGCTGGGCTAGTTTGCAGAGAGGACTACAAAGCTGGGAGGAGGCCTCTTGGGGTCAGGAAAAAAAACCTCAGATATTGACATTGGGAGCAATCCTGTCAAAATAATCAGATCAGTCTGTTGAGTGACGTATGTTGAAAACAATAAAGCAATCAGCCAGAAACTAAAGGGTCTTAAAAGTTATGTGAAGTCAGGGATAAGAGAGTGAAGAAAGCCCTTGTACAACTACAGTCATTCCAAGGTAACTGTTAGCACCCAAGGCTGCATGCATGGAGGGGCAACATCTGGGGCTTTATACTACAGGGAAGGGACAGAGGAAGAAGACAGACTTCACCAAAACAATTCAGGTCAGGCATGGTGGCTCACGCCTCTAATCCCAACACTTTAGGAGGCCAAGGTGGGCAGATCATGAGGTCAGGAGATCCAGACATCCTGGTCAACATGGTGAAACCCTGTCTCTACTAAAAATACAAAAATTAGCTGGACGGGGTGACATGTGCCTGTAGTACCAGCTACTTTGGGAGGCTAAAGCAGGAGAATCGCTTGAACCAGAGAGTCGAAAGTTACGGTGAGCCAAGATCATGCCATTGCCCTTCAGCCTGGCAACAGGGCGACACTACACCTCAAAAAATAAATAAATAAATAAATAAATAAAAATCCAGTCAGCTACTATACAAATAAATAAGCATATAACAATCACCGGCCAGGGACAGTGGCTCATGCCTGTTATCCCAGCACTTTGGAAGGCCAAGGCGGGCAGATCATGAGGTCAGCAGATCGAGACCATCCTGGCTAACACGGTGAAACCCCATCTCTACTAAAAAATACAAAAAATTAGCCGGGCGTGGTGGCGGCGCCTGTAGTCCCAGCTACTC